TGTAGCAGATCCAAGTATAGTGTAACAATAAAGTTCTATAAACTCAAGTGAGGTGTAAGATTTAGGAAAATAGCACATATCAGGGTCCTCGCAGAATATAACTGCATAATATTGGTTCGTAACTGAAATCGATAGAAAGATTTGTTGAGAGAAATTAATAGCAGGAATTGAATTTTGAGCTAAAGATATTGAGATAAATTTTATTGATTAGTAAGATTTTTTACTAATTTTTTTTAAATAAACATAGTAGTGGTTTTTTGTATAATTAATTGCTTTATGACCTTTCATCCGTCATACAATTGTGATAGTGGATCGTTTGTGATTAACAAAACCGTTTATGAATAGGATAACGGGAGCCTTATATATTCTTATGTTCCTAACATTAACAAGTTTTTTATAGAAAGTGCTATCATTGAAATCTATTACACAATGCCTACAAAAGGCAACACAAAAGTACATGCATTTATCCGTTAATAAAGCACCTATAGTTATAAATCCTGGATCATCAAGTCCTACTTAATCCGAATCTGCAAGATTTTTATAAGTTGGCTACTATAAATAAAACAACGCTTGACGGACTTCTTAACTAACCGATTTGTCGATTTGAAAACTATTGAAAATTGCAGAGGATGGTACGCTAATTCATTTTATAGCTCTTGAACCTTTTTATAAGATATCTACTTGTCAGACTGCATTAATACTTAAAAATATTGAATATAAATTTTTTGAGAATGTTGTGGCCAATATCAAAAATCTAAGACAATTCAAAGAGCTCATTCGAGTCAGAATAGAAAATATCAACAGATTGTTTGGTCAAGTGTTAACTACTACCTCTTAAAGATGGGATTATAAGATATTGACACCTGTAGACTACATCTGCTTCTGACTTTTGATTATCAAAACAACGAGTGTAATAATTTTATTTGACTTTAATTATACCGAACAATGTTTGTTTTCACAAACCGAGAGATATTTTTAGATTTGTCAAAAAGTGTGAATACTAAATGCAAATCATGTTAAATGCAGTGTCAAACATCAGTCCATTTAATGTATTTCTGTCTGGGGGTTGCCAGAAAATGAGTTAAGTACTCACATTCACCTTTCATTTCATCGTATGAAGGTTGTTATCTTTAACCGAAAGATATTGTATGGTTTATCAGTACCGTGAAATTCTATATTTTACCTTAGAAGGCTCTCTCCATGTCGAACTATACCATTCTCCCTACTATCAGATAAGAGTTGGTAGTCAACATGTTGAAAAATTTTGTATAATTTAGTAGTACTTCTTAAGTTGATAAAAATGTTGATGAAATTATCAATTGCCGTTGGCTGTATTTTTTTATAGTGAGGCTTGGGTGTTATAGATGGTTGGTTTAATAAATAAAAAATTTTAAAATTTATTGTAATCGTAAATCAAAACTCTCATAGGCAACAATAATAAAAGTATGATTTCAAATTTTATTTTAATTTTAAATTATTTTGAATACATATTTCTATTTCTGCTATAATTGATTGTACGCCATAAATACCGCATTAAATTTTTCAGTACCAGACAACAATATAACAAATTAGTGGGGCGATCGATAATTAAAAAGTTAAATATAAATAACATTACAAAACCGAACATCTGCGGTTGGCATATTATATGGTAGCTTATATTAGCACATGTACAATGACACTGTATCCACGAGTATATCACCATATCGAGTGGGCACATGTTTACTTCTCCATATGAAATGCGAATGACCCATTTCAAAAGCTGTGAAATAATTCATTTTAAATGTACTTCTATAGAAATACAAATACTTTCAGCATTTAGTATTTGAAAAATAAGTAATCAAAAAAAAAAAAAAAATAATGGTAATAAAATCAATTGACTGAAGCATTAAATAGTATTATTAAGTACCATAAAACCAAAAAGACTTGGGCTAATAAAATTTATTACGTCAAGATTTGTGATCGGCTTTTCATATTTAGATAAAGACATTCGTACTCGTAATAAAAGATTAATTGCCTTAAGTATTTCTTATCAGAGTGACGTACGTATTGCGTTCTATTTCAGTTCTCCAAGCGTTGTGTGAGGCATAAGTCTTCAGACGAAACTCATCCATCGAAATAAATCGAATGAATTTGTTCACGACCTTCACGACGAGTAAACCGAAAACATCGCGCTTCGCATAATTAACAGTTTTATTGAGGCGTCGAAAACAAAACGTTAAAAAATGTTAAATAATTTTAAAGTAGTCAAATAGTAAAAAATAAATACATAAAAATGAATTAATACAATGTAGTAAAAAAAGATATCAAACGAGTCCAAAATCTTTTTTTATTATTATGTGTCTATATGGCAGTTATTGATATATAATAATATAATTACGCATTTATGTGGGTGTGTGTTTATGTTGGTATTAATAATGAATAAAATACTTAAGTTATTTATACTTCTGAGGTAGTTTATATAATCCATGTGGGGGAAGTCCCCGAGATGAATAATTCAAATAGTTGTGACAATTGTCATATGTTTAAAATTCAATAAATATTTCAATGATTTTGATTAATAGTTAGTATTCAACGTTTTTATATTGGTTACGACAATATTTCCATTTGATTTATTTTGTCTTAATCTGAGCAAAAATCTTAAGTACGGATATAATAGCTTTAGAATGGTTCTACATAAAATTGTAGTTTAAAGTAATGAACATAAACTATTTTAATATAAATATAGTCACCATAATAGATTTTATGTATCGTTGTCTTTCACAGCTTTTTCTAATTACAATAGTAAAGACAAAAGTTTTTAAAATAGTATTTATGAAGTAGCCATCTTGTTCCAACAACATGCACAACTAAAGAAGATCCTATACTCCTGTACTTCTTTACTATATTTCAACTAATAGTAATGGACCTTTAGAGTTGGAAGTGACAGTATGATTATGCTACGGGCCGAAAAATATACCAATAAATTATGCTTCGTTGAGATTTTGAAACTGTTGTAATATAGTGAATTCTCGTTTTTTCGGATATTGATTTTGCGGCTCTACCAATTACAGCGATTAGGATTAATATACGAGTTTTTGACTTCACAATAATGAAAACTCAACTTAGTGAGTTTTCACTGAAGCAAGTGAAATTCTTAAAGAACGTTCACAGCAAATTGACAAAACTCCAAGTTTGAACAAGTCAAAAATTATTTGCAAACAAATAAATATAAAAAAAAATTTCAAAAAAATTCAATAATTAAAAATAATAAAATTTTGTTGTTGCAATTCAATACTCTACAACCATGAAATATAATGAACTCGATTTTGCTTTAATTTTGTTTCACTGAGATATTTCAGTAGATCTGATGTTTTGATAGATTTTTACTCAAAAAGAATATATAGAGGATTATTTTTAAAAGTTTTTGAATTTTAATTTGTAAGTACTCATTGAAGTAAATTTTTAACTAAAGATCTGGTTATTGATATGAAAATAAGTCATAAAACCAAGAAAATTTATTTAAAATTTTGTAACATTTTTACCAAAATACTCAATTAGTGGACCAAGTATATGGTGAAGAATATTTACCCTATGGTTGACCGTATATTCATAAATAGAATACAGGGTTTGAAAACGATAGTGTGAATATAAAAGGTAGTAATACGTCATTGTGCAGTAAGTCAGTAGTAATACATCAAGGTAGCTTTATACATCTCGACTAGTATTTAGTAATACGTCAAGGTAGCTTTATACATCTTGACTAGTAGCTAGTAATACGTCAAGGTAGCTTTATACATCTTGACTAGTAGTTCAGTCATACGTCAAGGTAATTAAATACATCTTGGCTAAGGTTGATGTCCAAGAATCTAAAATAAAAATTCCAAGTTTGAGTTAACAAGAACTAAATAGTGGAGTATCATCTGTCCGAAAGTACCATACAACGCCGGAATCATTTAGCCAAACCCCGAAAATTTCCATAGGAGGCCAACACAATTAATCATAATATATATTGTAACATTATGAAATTTGTTTTTTTTTTGAATTATAATTTTAAATAAATCACAAATCACATATATTAAATTGTCTTTGATTTTGGAAAAATAAATTATATTGCAACGACCCCTGGACGACGACTGAGTATACCTCAGCATCACCAGCGACAGAAAATGTGCCGTTACTGGTACTTCCTTTAAAATTGCGTTTATGATAGAAGAGATCAGTTTTTTATTTTTGGACATGAAAGTTATCCATAAGTTTGGTACTAACATCTGGACCGATTTTTTTGGAGTATCGGTTCGACCGATTTTATATTGTTGATATATATAAAGAGTTTTGATCACTTTGGTACACTAAGTTAATACTTGTAAAATTATTATAGTAGCATAAAAAGTAGTTCCGATGAATCAGTTTTTGTGAAAGTAATGGAATGATTCATACGCTATCAATTATTCTGTCAAACACCCAAGGTCTATATTAAGTATTAAAGTCTTAAGCACCAGTTTGAGTAGAAAAAGACCAACCAAAAAACATTGCTAAGAGAAGTCGTCTCTTCGAATTGGCAGGAATAATATCCCTGTTTTAACTTTGTGTGCTCTTATACGCACAAGACATGTTAGTAGGAAGATGTATCCTCTTTTTTTTTAATTAATTTAGTTCCGCAAAGTTGAAGTTTAATTATCAGCTATTTTTGCGAGGATTGACGTATTCGAGTTGAAGTTTGCTGAGTTTGCAACAAACCTTCGAAATGTAATTTTTATGAAGTGGTAGTAAAACAGTACGTTAAGTACTTCATTCAATCCTAATTATTTTTCCAACTGCTATGTATGAACGTATATATTCATTAATTGTTCTGTGACTGAGTTCAACAGTTTAGATAGCTTGAAAGTGATAAGTTGTTGATATTGCATTAAAATATTATTCATAATAAAAAATTTTTTAAAATTATTTAAACAATATTTTAAATAAATATTCAAATATTTTTCTATTTTAAATTGGTATATACTTCTTTTTATCTCTTGCAGATTAAACAAAATTGATGACAGCAATACGGGTCGCTTGGAATCAATGAGTGCACAACAAATGGATTTCTTGAAACGTTTGGACTCATTGGAATTGATAGAACGCATGACAAAACGTGATGTTGAAGAATTGAAAGGTGATAACTTTCCTAAACGAAAAAGAAACAATCGCAATTCATTTGAAGGGCATGTTGGTAAAAAAAGTTGGTGTCGGTTTGAAATTTTTAAATTGGCTTATCTAATTAAAATCTAATAAATTAAAAAGTAAAAATATTTGAAAAACGATTAACGCATACATAGCATAATTAACCTTAACACTAATATTCTATAAAATATTTCTAACGCAATTCTGTAAAAAAAAAAACATATTGAACGTGCTTTAGTAAATTATGTTTTATTCTAGAAGAGATTGTTAAGTCTCGCGAGACACGTCAGGTAAGTGCAGGTGCACAAGATGATCAAGTTGATCCATTATACAAGAGACCGACGTTAACCGATTCTCAAAAATTGGATGCAATCGCAACATTATTAACAGAAACGACACGTAAAGTACAGTCATTACGAAATGAATTGGTTTCAAACATCACCAGTTTAAGTCAAACCACGAGGTAAGTCATCATATGCAGCCAGCCATTTGAAATATTTTAATATCTAATTCCGGTTGAGATATGTGCATCTATTTTTATGACTTCAGTAAAATTAATTTGCGTGCACGTTAGTCAATTTATTCCACATTTGTGCATTGTATAGTAAAAAATGTATAATTTGAATTACTGACTTTTTGAAGCCTTCGTTAATCGACGACTCTGCATTTTAGCTTTAATTTATGCAGCGGTAAGATCAGTGGCGACCATTGCTGCCAATCATCTTCTTTTTTAGTTTAACCAAGTGTTGATGTGTCTTGACAGTTGATGCAGCACCTTAAGAACCTTCATTATTAATTATCGCTTCTCATCAATTTCATGCGTTAATCTATGTAAATTCACTTAGGTTGAGTAATTGTTGAATATTATTCAATTTTCTGCTGCTCCAAATATGTAAACATATTTGCATATCATTAGATCCATAATAGATATAAAAATGAAAAATGTTATTAGCGTTGAATATTAAAAATATGAGTCACATTGCATTTGGTTCAATAGTAACATATGGTTGAAATGAATAATTTTATCATGAAGGATAAATAAGCCTAGCCTCTTTATAAAATTTTGCGACAACTGAATAAGTTTCTCTGTTAATTAATTTAGTTTAAGAAATAATTTTAAAATCTGAAAAGGTATGAGTAATTGGTGCATTTTCTCTAAATATTTCACTAAATGAAATCTCTTATCATTATCCAAAAAAGCTATATGTATATCATATACTCTTATATCACGGAGAAATACCTATTTAATTAAAGGCTTGTATGGAATAAACACCTACATAGTATAATCAACAGTACACTCCGAAAAATATGTTCTAACCACATATAAATTAAATTGACCTGATTTGTTAGAAAAATTTTAGCACATGTGGTAAAGAAGATATAAAAACCCACATGCAATATGGTTGAATCAACGTGATAAGTCGAGTAATAATATTTTGACCTGAGATTTAGTTAAAAACTAATTAAATCAACCAAATTATATTATTGAAACAATTCTTCTTCATTGTTAACTCAGTTAATAATTTAGAAGTTTATGAATTTTGTGAATAATCGATATGAATTATGCTTTCATTGATCAATAATTTTCGTTTTATGTTGGCTAAATGTCTTCCAAAATATGTGATGAGTTCATCGAATTCTGGCCTATAATCTTTGTAGTAGTCTAGTATAATATTTTGTCCTTATAGTCAGTAAACAGTGTAGAAACAGTATTTGAAACGAAGAAATCGATAAAAATGGTTATGACTTTTCTCCATTAAAAGCAAAATTTTCCTATGGTACCATAACGCACTATTATTTGAGCTAAAGTTGGCGCTCATGAGTACAAGGCCGCCACTCCAACCTAACCCGATCTCTACTAAAAGCGTAATTTTGTTTCTTTTGCTTTCTTTTTTGTTGACTTCCATACCGCGATTTGATGCATTATTTTCAGCTCATATTGGAAATTCTACATTTTATTGATGGATCAAAATTTGAATTGAGTTTTGAACCACTCTATATTGTAATGTTGAGTCTTATAATCGTCAATCATCTAATTGCATTGTTTTTTTTTTATTGTCTTCATTATGTCAAACAAGAACTCAAAATAGAGTTCACTTCTCTAAATATATTTCGAAATATATATATTTTGAAATATATATATGTATATATATATATTCATACAGTTGTGTATGTAGTACTTACGAGTTCTATTCTATATTATATATTCTACGATTTTAGTTTTATGTGAAAATATATATAATATATTTAATATCTTTTATGGAGAGCTTTTCGAACAACAAAATAACTTACGTCAAAATCAAATTTAATATTTGTTCTATAAATTATAAGTTCATTCCTATTGAGTTAAATAATCACATTGTGTATAATATTGTACATTTTTTTTATATTTTAAATATTTTTAGTCATTTACATAGACGCTTAAACGTCCTCCAGCGCCGTCAACAGAATGGTGTAGGCGTACATCAACAATACCTTCCACCAGTACAACCCCCAGTATTCTATGCTCCTCCAAGTACTTCACAACCACTGATCACCAGCTGTGCACAGAATGCAGTCACTGACAATAGCATATTAAGACTACAGTTAACAGAAACATCCGTACCATTTTATGTACGCTGTGATGAGAGTTTCAAAAACGGCGGTTGGACTATAATATTTAATCGTTTCTTGGGTGACACGAGTTTTCAACGAGATTGGGCTGAATATAAAAGTGGTTTCGGCAATTTGGCTGGTGACTTCTTTATAGGCCTGGAGAAATTACATGCACTCACTTCATCTGCAGTTCATGAATTAGTCGTAATTCTGGAAGACTTTGCGAATGAGCAAGCCTATGCCAGATACAATCTTTTTGGAATTGGTAGTGAAGATGAAGGATATGCTTTAAATTTACTTGGAAACTATACAGGCACTGCTGGAGATTCACTTACATATCACGCTGGTTATAAGTTTTCAACTTACGATATGGATAACGATGGTTGCTTGGAATGTAATTGCGCGCAAGCGCATATGGGCGCTTGGTGGTATAATTGGTGCGAACAAAGGTAAGTTTTATTATATTTTTTTATACAAATGTATTCTCTTAATGTTATTATCGAATAAAATATAAATATTTTAAGCAATCTTTTCGGCAAGTACTACTTGGACAACTATAGCAGTGCACCATCATTTCAAGGTATGTATTGGCATCATTTTCGTGGTCCCAATTACTCGCTACGTGCGGCAAGAATGATGATTCGTCCGGTGGCAGCAGGAGACGCGACTACTGTGAGGCGTTAATAAGCTTAATAAATTCACTCAAAATTGATCGCTTCAGGGACTTAATTCGATTGAATTCGAATATTTTCGCTCGTTTCTTATACTCACTGCTGAATAGAATTTGTGTTCAATACTTTTACTTTAGTCTCGTGTATGTTTACGAAATTATTTCGCCAAATCTTTTACATTTTGTAAAACGAAGTTAGTTTTTAACAATTTTACATTTAAATTTAACTTTGTTAATGCATTTAGAATCGATGTTTTTACTTAATAAAAAATATTTAAAAAATTGCCATAACAGAAAATTGTTTGTTTTCGTTAAATTTTTATTTGAAAGTCTTTAAAGGTTACAGTTCAGCAAAATTTGCAAACGTATTTTTCACTTTCAAGAAGTGTGAATGAAGACAATCTCTGATAAGTTTTTAGAAATCGTCGTTATTAGTTTTTGGTATGGACAACACGCAATGTGACTAAGACTTTAATTGATTGTAAAGGTCAAAATAATACCGGATTTAATCTCACCTTTTTATATGCAATCAGTTTATTCATAGATATATTTTAAGATATCTTTTACTTTTACTTATCTTATTTCTTGCTAATCAACAGATTTAATCAACTAAACTACTTTTCTGAGTGTACTAATGTTTTATCTTACGTAAGTCGGATATTGTGATAAAAATAGGGTTAAAATTTTTCACAAAATGTATTATCTTTGAAATAATTTATAGAAATGTATACAAGTGGCGTGAAGATGTATATATAGATAGAGGCCAGAATGTCTTTTACTTAAAAATTCATAATCAAAAAAGATGTTAATAATTTTAAATTTTTTCTCACACTCACAAATAAAATGATTGAGATTGAGGCTTTCACCTTCTAACAGACGGAGATGGCATTATGTTACATTAGGTAGATCCATCATATTGACATGGTAACGGTTTATTAGGATATTGCATTTGGTAATTTGCCGGCAATATCAACTCCGTTTAAGAGCGATGTTTTTTGTAATTGAAAAGATAACCAGTCCTGATAGTTGTCTGGAATTTCGCACCAGCACCGTAAGTTTTGACTGTTATTCAATGGAATTTAAGGTGTGGTGATTTGGCAGCAACAGGATAATTGGGTAATCGAAGTTTAAAATATGAATCAGCTAATTTTTCAACAAAGCATTGCTGTACTAAATTGCATTGATTCTTTCGAGTTTACACGTAACCGCAATACCGACAATTTCAGAATGACCAGATAACACAATATTTAATTAGTTGCATCTGTAACATATCAAGGGAATACATAAAAATACTAAAAAGACTTACCAAAATTAGAGTGCCTAATATTACTTTTATATCATCACAACAGCTACAGATATATAGTATAGTGTAAACCTCTGAACCCTTTAAAGCATTTAAATGTTTAAAGAGATTGAAATTGGCACAGACATAAATCTCTGCTTAAAAGACTTTGAATCAAACATCTAACGTTACTCAAATTCTGGCGTTATACTAAATTATTACTGCATTGACAACTTTGTTGGTTTTTGAACCAACAGTGTTATAATGGGTAACCATTCGATTCAAGCATGGAAACCTATTGTTTCAATGTATACTATTGGAAAAACCACTTTTATGAAATCATGCAAGTCTTGTTTACATTTACATTTTTACATGTTTATATAATACGAGTAACTTTACAAAGGTTGATGTTACAGTAGAATGGTATATCCCAAATAAAATATAGATATTTTATCCCATTGGAGCAGCTTGCAGCCATAGCAATCGTCGATGGGTACGCATTATTCTGATTCTAATCATTAGAAGATTTTTTTATTCATTAATTTTGAGCTAGACAGTCTAGATTACAACAGTCAGTGTAGAGTGCATTTCTATTATTGAAGTGTCATTGCTTCAATTTGACTACTTGGTTATCAACTGTAAGCGACGAAACCAGTGGTAA